TTTCTATTAGTGACAAAATCACAAGTGCTACGGATACTACCAGGATTTGTGGCCATGGGTTAGCACAAAATAAAGACATTGTGGTTTTCCCACCCATGTGCACAACACCCTAAATTTATGCACAGATTCCTTAGACACCTGTTGACCCAATATAAGGCACCCTAAGTCCAATGACTCTTGCCACTGTTCCCACTTGTATTCAGCCACCAGAGAGAGGCAACAGGGTGATAGCAGGTCACCAGCATGCACATATACACAATGCATAGGATCCCCAGAATCAATGATGTCAGTAAAACCCACTCACATCACAGTAGTGCACCACATCACTACCAATGAGCCCAATGTCTGATTGTCACATCAGAAGGGTGATTGTGTCAAATCAGTGCCTTCTCCAACCAAGAAGTCTGCCCCTGAAAATGTTCCAAGAGCTAACTCATAGAAGAATGAACTGTTTTTCTCTATGATGTCATTCACCAAGTTCAGAAAGTGATCCTCAAATATCCTTTATGCTTCTTTACCAAAACTTTATACATTTGGTCTGTACTGTTCTCAGGATAATAGGTTTTACACATTTATATCCTTTGGGGAAAAAAAATGCATCCATATCTCCAACCTAACTCTGTGCCCAAAATTTTGATTGACATTACCATGTGGATGTCTAAACCTGGGATTGTCATTGTGTCCCCAAAATCAGTTTCTCCTCCTGACTTTGCTAATTTTTCTCTTCCTAACTTATCAGGAGCATCACCAATAACTATGTATGCAAAGTTCCCAGCTGCCACGCCCCTTCCCAATCTCCACTCCCCAGTTCACAGCAGTCCTCTAAGCTGCCTCTAATCCTTTCTCATTTCTACTTTGCTCCTGTAGGGATAAATTTCCACAAGAGAAGTTTCTGGAGACACACATTCCAGAAAGAAGGTACAATAGAAAAAGGCAGCAAGCCAGAAAACAAATAAGGCAAAAATATTTGCTCCCTGTTTCATGGAACAAAAGTAATCAAGCTTGCAGCACAGAGTGAAACAGGCAGCTGAATTGTAGTCTGGAGCCATGTTGGGGAGAGTTTACTCTCATTAGAAACTCTAATGATATTAGTACTCTGTCAAAATTTATTCAATGGCTCCCATTGTCCACTGAACTAGATACAGACCCTGCCCTACAAGCCTCTCATTTTTTTTTTTTTCTGGCTTGCTGCCTTTCTTATATCGTACCCTCCTTTGGAATGTGTTTCTCCAGAAACTTCTCTAATTGAAATCCTACACTCCAAAGACCATCTCAAATATCATCTATTTTGGGAAACCGTTTCTGAGTCTGCTTCTACCTTTGTTACCTTTCCCAGTTGAGTAAAATCCCTTCCTTCTTTCCGTCTCTGAAGCATTTTTCTTAGTGTTTATCTGCTTCTGCCTTTTGTTATGATCCAATATGTTCATCTTGTCCATCTCATTAGATATGTACTTCCTAAGTTTGGGTCTGCTTAATTTATCTTTGTACTCTGTTGTGCTTGACATAGTGTCTTTCACAATAAGAAGAGAATTCAATACATGTTTTCAATTGAAATGAAATGATTCCTATGCAAAAAAAAAAAAATGGATTTGCAGTACTGACCTGTCTGATGCTTTTCATGTATCAGGCATTTACTAACTATAATTCACTGATTAATTAGTAAATTCTAGTGATACTTTGCTTGCATCTGACCTTGACTCACATGATCTCATGGACTAGAGTAGTCCATCTTTCTAACTATTCTCCTAACTAACTCCTGCTAGGCCTCCAGGACTCAGTTTTTCCAGAATTTTCTTCAAGAAGTCTTCCCTAATCCCAGTTCAGCTTCATGGGCATGCAGTCTGTATAGTCCCATGGATTCCCACACTTAAAATGGTGCTAAACTTGGATTCATACTCTGTTGTTTCCATCATGAAATTCTTAATTTTTAGCAAAATGCCCATATCTTCATTTTGCATAAGAAACCACAAATTTAGCAGCCTAATTCATCCTTTACCACATGCTCCCCTCATCCCCAGTACTTTCCCTATCATTGCAATCATCAATACGAATATTTTTGTTTATATCTGCTTTTCTGTTTACATCTGCTTGCCTCTCTGTACATTCTAATAGACTTGATATTCTGTGAAGGAAAAAAGAATGAATTTTGTTCATTGTTACAACCCTCACAGTTCAGACTAGCATTATATGTTTAATCAGTATTTACCAAATGGATAACTAGATGAATGATAAAAGGAAGGGCGAGGGAGAAAGGGATAAACTAATAAATATATTTGTCCATCCATAGCTTCTTGGGCAACCAGAGCAATAGAGGTCTTTGGCTTGCAGTCTTCAGATGGGCCTCTGTAGCAATGACAATACTAGTATAGAAACTACTCTCATTAGAAAGGAAGGTAGTATTAGTTCAAAAAAGAAAATGGGAAAAGTGGTAACATGAAGAGGAAAGACTAAGCAGATCCAAATGTTAGTGAGGAAAGAACTAGCAAAAAGTTCTGTTTTAGACACAGACATAGAGATTATGAGCCTATCACTGAGATCTCTTGGAGAAGAATGATATTTTGTGATTAAATAATTGGCCAGCTCACTTTTCCTAACATTTTCTGGTAAACCTGGACTCAAGGAGCATATTCAGATAATGGCCACTCATTAGAGAGGAAACATCTGCCATCATCCTTTTTAGATGCCACATCCTGTTCCCAGCCACCTTAATGATCCCTGAGTTTTATTTTCTCATTGGTAATTTGACAGTGAGGTAGGTATGAAGTTTTGACCATTAGTTTACAATTCTAGTCTATTGGGATGAGTTTAATATATAATCAAAAGTATCTTGATTTGTTAGATGTATAAGTCAAGGATCAATGAGACATTATTAATATTGTGTGCTAGGTTTGTATCACTAGTAGAATCCTTCCCCTTGGAGCCATCTTCTATCTGGAACAGCAACTACTTCTGTCTTGTTTTAAAGCAATAGAGGGTCAGTCTCCAAAGTCTTGTTGAGCCAAGAGCATGATCACCATCCTCATCAGGTACATGGAAGCTCATCCAGAAATTCAGTGGGAAGGCTGACTGCACAGGGTACTCAAACTCTCCTGCTACACAACCTTGGACTAGTTACAAAAGATTCTTCACCCTCAGTTTTCATAAGTGTACACTGGAGACAATGACATTTCTACTCCACAAATTTGTGAGAATAATGAGGGAGAATGCAAGCACAGGGGGTTTAGTGCAGTGTCCAGCCTATAGGAAATGTTCTGTGAATGTTGGTAATTATTATCATCATGCAGAATATGAGCAATTATGTACTTTCACTCTAGTTATCTTTGGGATAGATACAAAGAAATAAGTAATAGATGGTATTAGTCAGGGTCAGCAGATTTATTCTCTTTTTGAGTGCACATTATTTATTTTCATTACAATTTAATACACCATTATATAATAATTTATCATATTTCTGATTATATATAAGGTATGTTGACACCAAATTCACATCTTCATACATATATTTGTATAATGCTGAGAGTCTCCTTTCACCATCCATGCTATTCCCCTTCCCCCTCCCTTTCCTTCCCACCCTGATTCCCTATCTAGAGGTAATCTTCCTCCCTTGCTCTCCATCCCAACCCCATTTTGAGTCACCTCCCCTTATATAACAGATTTATTCTCTAAAGGGCCAGATAGTAAATATTTGTCTTGCTGGTCATACTGTCTCTTTTGCAGCTACTCAGTTTTGCAATTGAAACATGAAAACAGTCACAGACTACATAATGAATGGTAATGGCTGTGTGCCAATAAAACTTTACTTACAAAAAGAGGTATGAGGGGCCAGATTTGTTTCCCAGACCATAATTTAGCTAATCCTTGGCTATAAGCCATTAGGCACTCTCAGTGAAGGGTGGTAGAAAGACTTTTCAGGGCAAGCCAAAGAGAGGCAAGAATTAACTCCACTATTACACAGAACACAAAAATTTATCTTTTAAAGGACCTTATTATATGAGTTTCTCGGAGATGAGTAGAAGTTGAAATTGTCCCAAAGCAGGTAGCTTGGGTGTTTTGTTTTGTTATCTTGTAAATTGACTTTGAAACAAAGCCTTGTCTTTTATTAGACATTTTCCTTGGGAACTCTACTCCTCCCTTGATTCTGCAAGTTCCATCTTTCTTGAAATAAAAAATCTATCGATGGATTGGTCGGAAATGGTTGCCCCTGACTTCCAATCCCTAGTAGTATCCATGAAGTCTCTCATGATTGCTAAAAACTACAGGGGAAGAGAGCATTTTCTAATAACCTATGAGGAGACAGAGCACAGAGGTCATTTTTCTGTTAGTTTGACTACAAGGAAATTGAGATGCACAGGTAGCAGAGTAGATCACCCCTTCCCTTTTCTATTCTTCTTATTCATATAAAAGAATTACAGGGCTGGGGATATAGCTCAGTTGGTAGAGTGCTTGCCTAGTATGCACAAGACCCTGGGTTCAAACCCCAGCACCACAAAAAAAAAACAAAAACAACAAATGAGAATTCATGAGCAGTATCAGACTCGAACAATGGGCCAGTGTCCTGGTTACAGTGACGTAGAATACCTGACTTTTTGCCAAAGCTGCCAAACATGAGGTGGATACTGCTTCTTTGATAGGAGAGTGGCTGCAGTCTGCTCCAGTCGGAAAACATGACCACTCTCTCTCTCTCTCTCTGAACCTTTCTCAGGATCCCTGCTTGGAAAAAGATTTGTATTGGAAACTTGTAGATTATTAAATGTGAACACTTAAACACAGCATCACACACACAAATTCATACATACAACCTTTTCTTTATCAATAAAATTGTTAAGGTGCCTCATTTCCACCCTATATCATACTGTATTTTGATACTCAAAATGGCTAGTGTCTACTAGGGCTTTTATGATTTAACCTATGCCTTTTCAACTGGGTCTGGTGTTTTATTCTTTCTATAATGATAAGGCAAGTTTCTTATCAAATTCCTCTTTTTTACTGTTGTTTTACAGTTTCCTCCTTGTCTTTGGTTGCTTGATTTTGTCCGTGTTTTCTACCATCCCTGAGCACACGAAATTGGCCTCAAGTTGCCTCTTAATTCTGGTAAGTGAAATACATGAATAAGAATATATATAAATTTTATGTCATATAATAATAACTGTCTATAACATTTATGCTATGCATTTTATCCTACAGAAATTTCTAGCTAGAAAAAAAGAATATTACTAAGAAATATGAAAGTTTCAAAGATCACTAAAGCATTTACCTACCAGTTTAACCTATAGTCAATCCTCAGGAATATATTTTTAAATTCAGGATTGATATTATAGAGCAATACTTTGTGTTATAGGCACATCATAAATAGAAGGAAGTATTTGATAGTAGTTTTAATTTTTTCACCTATGCTAATAAACAAATTATAAGAAAAGTTAGTATCCATGAAGTCTCTCATTATTGCTAAAAGCTATAGGGGAAGACAGCATTTTCTAATAACCTCATTTTAGCAGTAGCTAAGTATAATTCGCCAGGAACTGTAAGAATATGGCACCTCATAAGAAAACAGAAGGCTCCTTCATGTTCTTTTCAACTGACAGACTATATTATGAGTTTTGCTGCTAATGCAGTTACCTGGTGAAAAATTCTGCAGTTTGCTCTGTTTCCATTTTGCTGTCGATCCTCAACCACACAGATTCATTTTAAAATGGAAAAAGTCCCCAAGATATTTTAGTGTGAATTATTCTGGGTCTTTTAAGCTCTTATACCTTCTATTACAACTGAACTGTAGCTCTATGTACTCAAATCACATATGATTGAAAGTTTGATTCATTTACATCCATTTTAGCCTGCTCACTTCATCCAAAATTATCAGAATTGACAGTCTCAGAACCATCTAAATGAACTGAAATAACTCACTTCTGTAATGCTACTAGACAGTGGAGGAAGGAGGGGAGCCCAATTAAGATGGTTTGTGTGCCCTAATAAACAGAGTTTCGTTATACAGAGCAATAAGCATTTATTATAGAAAAAAAGTTATTGCTATGAAGGTGGAAACTGAAAGATTTCAACTCACATAACCTGAGAAGAGGGCAGATGCTTTTCTTACTTTTGTTTTTAGATGGCTAGTTTGTGCTTGAGGTTGGCAAGAAATCATCAAGTCTTTGGGTTCAGTATTAGGGGAGAAAGTATTTTTTGAGTCTGGAACAAATCTGTCTCAATTTGTTTCCATAAAAAATGTGCTCAGCAGTATATTTCTAATGTTCTGGTCATTGTTTCAAGACCCAAGACAGAGAACAGATAGACCAAAGAGCACATTGGAGAACTGTTCCATTTACAAGGTTTACATTTGGGTAGCAAGTGGGCTTTTAGCCTTGTCCACCCCTTTGATTGCAACAAGTGATCTGATCCCAAGGTTTAAAGCACAGCTGGTTTTATGTCCACATGCAGAACTGCCAACAAAAATTTCAGATTTAAAATATAAATCTGATTTTCAGACTTGGGAACATGAAAAACTGGATCCACTATATGACCATTGATACATACTAGGAATAAATAAATCATTATTAGGAATCTCATAAAAAAAGGTTTCTTTCATAAATCAAGAATCCAAAATGCATGGGAAGAAAAGAGAAAAATACTGGGGGGAAGTGCTGGGGAGTGATATTGGCCAAATTACATTGTTATATTGTGTACATGTACAAATGCATAACGATGAATCCCAGCATTATGTAAACTATAATGCACCAACAAAAAATATGACAAAAATAATTCAAAATGTTAGGTTGCATCCTACAAATCTCCAAACTATGTATTTACTCATTGCTAATTAATTTCTAAAGACTCTAAAGAAACTCTTAAAACTTCAAAGACCAAAATTGACTAAAACCTTGACTTTTTAAACATGATGAGCAATGAACCACTGATCAAAATTTAGTAACTAGAGTGCATTTTAATTGATAAAATATAGATATTGTCAATTATTTTTTCCAAGTCAGGGAAAATGTTATGTTGCCCATGCTACTCCTTGGGCTTAAGTGATTCTCCCATCTCAGCCTCCTAAGAGGCTGGGATTAGAGACATGCACCACTACACTCAGTTTAAAGTCATTTTTGTATACTTTGGAATTCATTGTTGTGAACAAACAGCAGAGGAGTAATTTAGAATTACATATAAATCACACATCACAATTGTGTATTTTTTCATAGCCTGTCCTTTTAAGGTTTTTTTTTTTTTAATTTTAAATGTGCTCAGAGATTTTCTATAATTCTATTTCTGGGCAAAAAAAGATACCCATACTTCTGGCAGGGAGCAGACTACAAGCAAACCTGGCCCTCAGACAACCTCCCAGGACCTCTCTGAACTCACTCTTTTCCACACAGTTGTTTCCTTGAGGGCACCAAGGTATGGCATGCAGGCCATTTGGATATTGTCTTGCTCACCTTCTGAGGCCCTATGAACTCTTCAGCTCTCCATCCCACAGATTAAAGAGGCTCTTGTCATCCTCATCCAGAATTATATGCCCAAAGCTACTTTGTAAATTTGAAGCTGCATATTTACTTCAATTACAAGCCAGATTGATTGCTGCCTATGCTAATTTGCTCATTCTTTCTTTTCAGTTGGGTGAACTAAGGTTTCATTTTATATACCCACTCCCTTTATTTCTTTCCACAGAAATAGCAATTTGTGAATTTAAGAATGTGATATACTCTATGTAGCCAGGCACCATGAGTCCAAATTCCATTTCTGCCACTTTTTACCTCTGTGATTTGGGGAAAAAAAAATTTCTCTGTGTCTTAGTTTTCTCATTTGTTAGAAGTGGATAGGAGACAGATGTGAGAACACACGTCTGTAATCCCAGAAATTTGGTAGGCTGAGGCAGAAAGATCACAAGTTCTAGGCCAGCCTGTGCAATTTTCCAAGGCTCTGTCTCAGAAAAATAAAAAAAGGTTTGGGGTGTAGCTCAGTGGTAGAGTGCCACTGGGTTCAAAACCTTCCCACAAAAAAAATAGATAGGAGGCTTAAGGTGGGGGCACATACCCATAATCCTTTAGTGATTCAGGATGCTGAGGCAGGAAAATTGCAAATTCCAGACCAGCCTCAGCAACTTAGTGAGGCCCTCAACAAGTTAATAATACCCTGTCTCAAAATAAAAATAAAATAACTAGATCTGGGGTTGTGGCTCAGTGAGTGATATAGAGCACTTACCTCACATGTGTAAAGCCCTAGGTTCAATCCTCAGCACCATATGAAATAAATAAAATAAAGGTATTGTGTCCATCTACAACTAAAAATAAATAAGTAAATAAATAAATAAATAAAGTATAATGTAGCTCAGTGGTAAAGTGTTCCTGGGTTCAATCCCCAAAACCAAAAAAAAAAAAAAAAAAGTGAATAGGAGGATTTGGGAAAGAAGACCTAATAAAAAGCACCAGGACTGGATCTCCCTACCTAGACAACAATTGCACTGGCAGAATCTGATGTAACTGTTTTTGGAACTCTGGGTTCTATTGACTGCTTTCAATTTCTAGAGGAAGGGTTGGACAGTAAATTATAGTCAATTTCAGCTCTAGCACAGTAGCAGCTACTGGTCCCTCATCCCAGCCCATAGTAGACAACTGTGCCTGTGTTCCAGAAACAGCCTGAACACTGCTTGTAGGAGCCAAGATGGGCAAAAGAACTCTGTCCTTCAAATATCAGAGACATGTGCTATTATTGCTGATTACTGCTTCTGATCACAAAAATTCAGAAAAAGGTGGCAGCTATTCTTGTTATGCCTCCTATATTATTACAATCTCCTCCAGCCAAAGGGACTTTAATGGAACTTGAAGGGTAACCTCCTCTTTATTTTTATTTTTCCTCTTTTTGAAACCAATCTACAAAGATAAAATTTTGTGTCAGCAATAACTGAAAATAGTGGAGATGAAGAAGTAAATTATCAAAGTTTCACGTTATCAAAGTTGTGCTGGTATTAATTCAACTTAGAGTGATATAACTTTAATATGTTAATAATCCCCATGGTAACCACAAAGAAAATTATTACAGGATATACACAAAAGGAAATAAGAAAGAAATTTAAACATTTCACTGCAAAGAAAAAAGAAAAAAAGAACTAAACACAAAAGAATACTGTAATGTAGAAAATGAGGGTCAAAAAATGCTTTAAAATATATAGAAAATAAATAGCAAAATGACAGAAGTAAAATTTTTCTTATCATTAATAACTTTAAAGGTAAATAGGTTAAAGTTCCCAATCAAAAGACAGTGATTTGAAGAATGGATTAAAACATGATTAAATTCTATGCTGATAACAAGAGATTCTACTTTAGATCCAAAGAGAAAAAATGGAAGTAAAAGGAACAGAGAGCAGAGGTGGCCACCATGCCAAAATCTGACAAAAAAAAAAAAAAGTTTTAAATCAAATGTGGTTTTGAGAGATAAGAATAATATTATGTAATAATAAAATTTCTGATACAAGAAGAAGATATAACAATTATAAATATTTACATACATTATAACCAAACATCAAAATACATGAAGCGAAAATAACAGAATTGAAGGGAGAAATAAACAGTGCTACAATAATAGTTGGAGATTTCAACACTCCACAATCAATAATGAATAGAATAATCAGTCAGAAGATCAGTGAGGAAACAGAAGTCCTGACACAGTGAACAAACTAGACCTAGCAGACATGAACAGAACACTCTACCCAACAACACGCACACACATCTTCCCCAAGTTCATATGGGACACTTTATAAGACAGACCATACGTCAGTTCACAAATTAAGTCTTAGTAGACTATAAAAGATGGATATCACACAAAGTAACTTCTCATACAATGAGATGAAGTTAAAAATCAGCATCAGCAATAAAACTAGGATATTCACAAATTTGTGAAAATTAAGCCAATAACCTTACATGACCAATAGACCAAAGAAGACATCATGAGGACAATCAGGAAATATTTAGAGGTTTGAAAACACCAAAGATCAGTTCAACAGCCTAACTTTACAACTTACGGAAAAAGAACAAGTTAAACCAAGGACTAGCAGCAGGAAAGAAATTATAAAGGTTAGAACACAGACAAATAAAACAGAACAGGAA